CAGAGTCTGTGTGCCTGGGGAAAGCTGAATTCTTTGCATTGGAAGGTTGCTGGGAGTGAGGCGAGAAAGTGAACAAAGTGAATCTAGCTAGGTCAGCCTGAATGCTGGCATGACGGATAGTGGGGCCTGGGGGTGTGGGCCGATGGGGTCAGAGGGTGGCGGACATAAGAAATAAAGCCCCTTACTTGACCTCATGTCACCCTGCCCACCCCATCCCCCATCCTCCCATCCCTCAGCTCCCTGTTGGTTTGAACCAGATGATTCCTGAGCCCTAAATCATCCAGTCACAACTGATTGATTTCCTTGCTTGAAAATCTGCCACTGTGTGGATTCACAATGGGCGTATCAGCACTAACCTCCTCTCATTAAGTAGCACAGCCTGGGTGCAAGCTCTGTTTTCCATTTCGCTTTTGAGAACATTTTACTTTTGTTCAAGTGGAAAAAGAGCCTTTTAAAACTGGCTATTTAATATTCTTTTCCTGTTCTTCATGTTTGACCCAATCTTGCTTCTAGTCTTCTCTTTCTGTATGTGTGGGGGTAGAATTTGTGGAGAGAAGGGAAAGAAAGGGAAAGGAGAGAGAAGGAGAGACTTGCACTTAATAAACAACTAACCGTCAGGGTCTTTGTGGCTGCCTCCTGTGTCTTTCCCTGGCTCTTCTCTTCCCCATCCTCCCCCCCCCCCCCCCCAGGTTATTGTTGGTGGTCTACAAAAAGCTTGTTTTCCTCCGAGTCCAGTTTGAGCACAAAGGGCCGTGATTCACAAGCTGCTTAATGGGGATTTAAACCATGTGTGCTGTCTGTTAAAAAAAAAAAAAAAAAAAAGCCTCTTTCCCTAATACTTATTCCTCTCAGTACATTTTCATGAAGTTTTTTACTCCTTTTCTCTTAAAATTAGAAGTGGTGTTTTCCTAGGGGAAGGGGTAGTAGAAAGGACCCTAGAAGACTAAACAGGGTTTTTTAACGGAGATGGGCGAAGAAACGGCATAGCTCCTCTGTGATTTTTGACTCCAAGACAACAAGAACTCGGGTACTCTGTGCTGTTGCTTACTTCTAGCTGGGGCAGAACTGCAAGCCCCTCGTGGATAGGATTGTGTCATCTTCTTGTTGATCCGCTGCTGCCGAGTTCGTGCCATATACCTTCTAGGTGGTAATGAGTGCAGAGTTTCGTTTATTTCAAAGCAAGTTTATCCTAGTTCATGCTAACAGAAGTTCATGGTGGTAGAAAAAAAATTCAAGTAACTTGCAAACCTCACTGATCTATTCACCTAATAAAATGTTTTAAGTGCCGACTCTGCTAAACACCATGTAGGTAAAACTAGATAAAGATTCATTTACTTAACATGCTTTCCGTCTGCCAGTCACTATCTAGGCACTGGATATCGTCGTTAGATTGTCAAGCAAGTTATGATCTAATTGGGGTTGGGGAAAGGAACAGTGAGAGAGGGGTGAATCATGGAAACTACCTGGAGGAGAGGGAGCCTGGGACTGTCTAACATTGTGAGGGAAAGCCTTCCAGGCAGAGGAACTCATGTAAACAAAGGTATGAAGCCTAGACAGCTCACAACAGGTAAAAGAACAATGGCCAGTATTCATGGGGCACCCTTGTAAGGATTATTTAATTTCAAAGAACGGAAACACGCTCAGAGGAACTCAAATTTATAAAAAGGTGTTTATTGACAGGGAATCTCAGGAAAGCCAATTGCAGGAAGTGTAGCCAGGCTGCAGCCATTGTGTGCCTCTCAGGACATCTGCTTCGCCCTAAACACGTGTTCCATTCTCTTCCCTTCTGGGAACTGTTTTCTCTCTGCCATCTCTTACATTTTGCTGCTTTGGTGACTGGTCCGCACAGGGCATTGGGTTGCCATGGTTTGGGCTCCGTGCCCCACTTCATGCTACCTTACATCCCTTATTATCTGTTTACCTCATTCATCTGGGGGCTTCTCGGGAGAAGAGTGTAGGTTGAGCAAACGTGTCCAAGCCATCTGTACATACGTGGCCAGAAATAATGGGAGAACAAATCTAGAAAGTTGTTTGGAACTCAAGCTTCAAATGCCCCCCTAAGATGTTTTAAAAAAAAAAAGTGGCTGCCTCTGACAGTAAAGTGGCCCAAAGTCGGCTTTGGGATGACTCTCCTGTTCTCAGTAGATAAGATGAACTGGAGGACAGACGATTGAGGGCAAAAATTCTTGTGACAACAGCCTGATTCGTGTAGTAGTAGCAGGTGAAATACGACATGAAGGGGAAATATAATAGGTGAAATCAACTAATCAACTTGACTTGAAAACTGGGTGTGGAGGGTGAGAGAGAGAGGAGTCAGAGTGGTGCTCTGACACTGAGCCTGGGTTTCCCCGCAGCATACATACTGGAAAAATCCAACAGAAGGGAGAAGTATGGTAGAGCAGTTATGAGTTCCGTTTTGAGCATTCTTTTTCGAAACTGTGGGGACATTTGGGTGGTGGTCTCTAGCAGTTGGTTGGCATAGACCCCTGAGGCAAAGATGGAGGGTCATGGTGAGAAGCGCCATCTGGGTGGGAGACAGCAGTTTCTGCTTATGTGTATGTCAGGTGTTCTTCACTGGGTGACAATTACTTATACAGGTTGAGATGTTAACATGCTTATATCATAGGCAGTGTGACTTTGTGTTCGTGTTGTTTACTGAAAAATCCTATGCCTATTGAAAAATGTTCATAGTGGTCTGGGGCTAATGGCAATAAGTCACACATTTGGTAAGATATTCTTTCAGCTTGCTATAGAAAAAAAAGACATTAGCAACGCGTAGGTATGTGTTTTTTTTTCATATATTTTTTAAAGATTTTATTTATTTATTCAAGAGAGAGCACGAGCCGGGGGGAGGGAGAGGGACAAGCAGACTCCCCGCTGAGTGGGAAGGCCAATGTGGTGCTGGATCCCAGGACCCGGAGGTCATGACCTGAGCCACTTAACCGACTGAACCACCCACGTGCCCCCATATTTTTAAAACAAAGCAAATTCAGTTTTCACTAAAAATACATAGGGTTTCAAACATCAAAAAGTACAAAATGCTATACATTAGAAAATCTCCTACCAAGAGAAGACCACTTGATTCACTTTTTTTGCTCCTTTCCTCTAAATACAGATAAATACCCTGAAAAGAATTCAGCAGACAATTATAAAAGGAATCTGAAAGGTGGAAACGAGAGGGCAGACTGGGAGGGAGCTCAGGACTTGAGGAAGGACAGTACACGTGAGTTCCCTGGGTTTTGTTTCTAATCTCCCTTGTACCCAGGTCTGGGCCCTGTGGAGTACCTGCAACCTAGAAGTGCCAGCAGGCATAGGCGCCCCCCCAAAAAAAAGAAAGAAGAAGGAGAAGAGAAGGAAAAAAAAAGAACGAACAAAAAGCCTGCTTTTTCTTGCTAAAAGACCAGGAAAGGGGAAAGCCTATTTCCCTCCCCATAACCAGCAACAGCAGTGGGCTCAGTCCTGTTGAGCAATGCTCATGAGGACCTACCTGTTGCCCATTCCACACCTGACAGCACTACAGTACGACCTATCCCTAGTCCCCCACAGCACCAGGGACACCCACAGGCCTGGCGTCTTATAGCCTTCTAACCAGGAGCAGAACAGGACCTTGGGAGGTTTCCTCCTACAACCTTAACCTCCAGCAGCAAAAGGCCAGATAAGTGCTTCCTGCTTCCGGCGGTACCTACAGAGATCGAACAAAAGTCTGCGAGCGCCAGGCAGCCAGAGAACAAGTCAAGAGAAACTGCATTCTTTGGGTCCAGCATCGCTCAACCCCCACCTAGTGAAACCACCTGGCCCAAGGAAGTGCCTTCAGCCCTTACTGGAAGTACCAGCAGGCATTGAGTGACAGTCTCAGGAAGCCAGAAGAACACAGCAGGCCAGAATTGCATTACAAGGGCTCTGGAAACTAAATTGTCATTGAAACTACAGCCAAATTTAAAGAGTGATTGCCTGCTAACATACAAAATTAGGACTTTAAAGCAGCCATTATAAAATTGCTTCAAGCAATGATGAATTATCTTGAAACAAATGAAAAACTAGAAAATATCAGCAAAGAAATAGAAGTTATAAAAAAGTACAAAATGGAAATTATGAATAGGAAAAATAAAATAATCAAATTAAAAACTATGATGGGCTCAATAGTACACTGGAAATGTCAGAGAACAGAGTCATTGAACTTGAACACAGACCAATAGAATTTATTCCATCTGAACAACAAGAGAGAAAATAGACTGAAAAAGAAATACTACAGCTCCTCAGAGACTTTGGGACAATAACACAAAATCTAACATTATTGGAATCCCAGGAGATGAGAAAGAATGTAAGACTGAACAACTATTGGAAAAAATAATGACTGAATACTTCCCAAATTTGTCAAAAGACCTAAACCTGCAGATTCAAGAAGCTGAATGAACCTCAAAGAGAAAAACCCAAGGAAATCTACACCAAGATATATTATAATTAAATTCTGCAAACTAAAGACAAAGAAAAAAAATCTTAAAAGCAACCAGAGAGAAATTATGTATTAGCTGTTGGGGAACAGCAGTTCAGATGACAGCATGATTCTTACCGGAAACCTTGGAGGGCAGGAGGAAGTGGCACAACATTTTTCAAGTGCTAGAAGAAAAGTCAAGTGCAAGTTCTATATCTGGTAAAACTATCCTTCAGGAATAAAGGGAAAGTAACGACATTCTTAGAGGAAAACTAAGAGCATTTGTTCCTAGCAGATATACCCTTAGAGAAAGGCTAAAGGAAACTCTCCAAAAAGATAAGATACCATAACAGGAGGAGGCTTGGAATTTCAGAAATGAAAGAACAACGAGAACAATGGAATGGGTAAAAATAGGGGTAAATATAAATGGACTATCCTCATGAATTTTAAAAATCATATTTGATGATTGAAACAAAAATTATAGTACCATCTGATGTGGTGCTCGATGTATGAAAAGGAAATACCTAAGACATTATATTTAAAAAGCAGGGAGAACAAAAGATCCTAAATGGAAGTAAGCAAAACCATACACTCAAAAGCGAAAAGTGAAAATGGGATTTTAAAAAATGTTTAAGTAGCCCACCGGAAGGCAAGAGAAACAGAGGGAACAAATAAAAATAAAAAACAGAGCCACCCTCCCATGCCCTCCTCACTGACACCACGCTCCAGTTCCTACTTGGATTTACTTTTAGTACCATGGTGGGAATGTATCTGGCTCAGAACTATGACATACCAGACCTGGCTAGAAAACTTGAAGAAAAAAAGGACTTGGATGCCAAGAAGAAACCCCCTACCTAGTTCATGGAGCAGACTCCAGCACTACCTTCTGGATATTCCGATTCTGCTGTTCTTGAGGGCCTCCTTACCATCTGAACCAAAATTCCAGCCTCAGTGATTTTCCTTTCTTCTAGATCCTCCCTTGGCTCAGAGCACAAAGGGGGCCACAAGCGAAGAACTATGCTTTTCCAACCTCCTCATCTCTTCCCTTCCTCCTTCCAGCCACTTGAGATGGCCTAAGACTGGAACTATGGTGCTAGATTAATGAATGTGACCTTTAATTAGTAGTCTCTTCCTTCATTCTTTGGGATTTCTACTACTTTTTTCCTAAAGAAAAATTGACGGGTTTGCGTAGCTGATTAGATTAAGCAGTGCTGATTACACAGTAGCAATTATAATGGATGTTTAAACATTTGGTACTAAGTTATGTTTTTTTGGGGGGGTTTTTTGTTTTTTTAATTTGACAGAGAGAGAGACACAGTGAGAGAGGGAACATAAGCAGGGGGAGTGGGAGAGGGAGAAGCAGACTTCCCGCTGAGCAGGGAGCCCAGTGCGGGGCTCAATCCCAAGACCCTGGGATCATAACCTGAGCCAAAGGCAGACGCTTAACGACTGAGCTACCCAGGCGCCCCCTAAGTTACGTTGTTTTGAATTAATTAAAATTAAAGTCTAGAGGGAAAAAAAACAAATAATAAAATGTCAGTATAAGCCTTAGCCTATCAGTAATTACTTTAAATGCAAAAAGTCTAAATACTACAATTAAAAGACAGAGATTGGAAGGATAGATTATTTAAAAATGGCCCAAGGACATGCCCTCTACAAGAAATGCATGTCAATCATAAGGACCATAGGTAGGTTGAAAGTAAAAGGTGGAAAAAAGATATATCATGTTAACATTAATTTTTGGGGGGTGCCTGGGTGGCTCAGTCAGTTAAGTACCTGCCTTCGGCCCAGGTCATGATCCCAGGGTCCTGGGATGGAGCATGACATCGGGCTCCCTGCTCAGTGGGGAGCCTGCTTCTCCCTCTCCCTCTCCCTGCCTCTCCCCCAACTTGTGCTCTATCTCTCTCTCAAATGAATAAATAAAATATTTTTTTAAAAACCTTAATTTTTTTAAGTGGCTATATTAATATCAGACAAACTGGACTTCAGAGCAAAGAATAAAGAATCAGTCCATCGGGGCGCCTGGGTGGCTCAGTTGGTTAAGCGACTGCCTTCAGCTCAGGTCATGATCCCAGGGTCCTGGGATCGAGTCCCGCATCGGGCTCCCTGCTCTGCGGGGAGCCTGCTTCTCCCTCTCCCACTCCCCCTGCTTGTGTTCCCTCTCTCGCTGTGTCTCTCTCTGTCAAATAAATAAATAAAATCTTTAAAAAAAAAAAAAAAGAATCAGTCCATCAAGAAGACAGAGCAGTTCTAAATGTATACGCACCAAAAGGCAGAGCTGCAAAATACATGAAACAAAAAATGATAGAGCTGAAAGGAGAAATAGATCCACAATTATGGTTCAGGACTTCTACATTCCACTCTAAGCAATCGATAGAACTATTGGACAGAGTATTAGTAAAGGTAAAGAATAACTTAATACCATCACACAACAGGATCCAATTGACGTTTACAGAAATTCCACCCAACGACAGCAGAATGAATATATATTCTTTTCAAGATCCCATGGAACATATGCCAAGATGGATCCTAGGTCACAAAATGAACTTCAGTACATCTAGAAGATTAAAATCAGGGGCGCCTGGGTGGCTCAGTCGGTTAAGCATGTATCTTCGGCTCAGGTCATGATCCTGGGGTCCTGAGCAGGCAGTCTGCTTCTCCCTCTCTGTGCCTTCCCCTGCTCATACTCTCTCCCCTCTCGCGCTCTCCCAAATAAATAAAATCTTTAAAATAAAAAAAAAAAAAATCATACAGAATATGTTGTCTGGCCATATGGAATCAAATCAGAAACCAATAATAGAAAGACCACAGGAAAATCTTTAATCATTTGGAAATTAAGAGTACACTTCTTAATAATCCATGGGTCAAAGAGGAAGTTATCACAGGAAATTTTAAAAATGAGAGGGTCTGGCTGGCTCAGTCGGTGGAGCGTGCAACTCTTGATCTCAGGGTTGTAAGTTCGAGCCTCAAATTGGGTGTGGAGATTACTTCAAAAAAATTTTTAAATCTTTTAAGAAATTTAAAATGAACTTCATGATCCCAGGGTGCTGTATGGAAGTGTCAAATTACTGTATTGTACACCTGCAACTAATTTTTTTTTTTTTTTTAAAGATTCCATTTATTTGACAGAGACAGCAAGAGCAGGAACACAAGCAGGGGGAGTGGGAGAGGGAGAAGCAGACTTCCCGCCGAGCAGGGAGCCCGATGTGGGACTCGATCCCAGGACCCTGGGATCATGACCTGAGCTGAAGGCAGATGCTTAATGACTGAGCCACCCAGGCGCCCCACCTGCAACTAATATTACACTGTATGTTAACTAACTGGAATTAAAATTTAAAACAAAGTAAATTAAAAATAAAATGAACTGAATAAAGTGCTCGCTTCGGCAGCACATATACTAAAATGAACTGAATAAAAACAAAAATACAACATACCAAAATGTGTAGAATGCAGCCATAGCAGTGCTGGGAGGGAACTTATGGCCCCCACGTGCTTACATTAGAAAAGAGAAAAGATCTCAAATCAGTAGTCTAAGTTGCTATATCAAGAAACTAGAAAAAGAAAAAATAAATCCGAAGCAAGCAGAAATCAGTGAGATTGTAAACAAGAAAACAACAAAGGAAATTTATTAAACCAAAAGCCGGTTCTTAAAAAAATCCCAATACAGGGCGCCTGAGTGGCTCAGTTGGTTAAGCGACTGCCTTCGGCTCCGGTCATGATCCTGGAGTCCCGGGATCGAGTCCCGCATCGGGCTCCCGGCTCGGCGGGGAGTCTGCTTCTCCCTCTGGCCCTCCCCCCTCTCATGTGCTCTCTCTCTCATTCTCTCTCTCAAATAAATAAATAAATCTTTAAAAAAAAAAAAATACCAATACAGCTGGTAAACCTTGAACAAAATTGACAGATAAAAAGAAGACGCAAACCACTAACAACAGGAATAGGGGACGTCACTACAACCATTAAGAGGATAGAAGTGAACACATTAAGAGGATAGAAGTGAACACCCGGAGCACCTTTACACCCCCAGATTCAATAACTTAGAATAAATTGCTTGAAAAGCACAAGTTACCAAAACTCAACCAAGATGAAATAGATAACCTGAATAACCATTAATAAAATTAGATTTTTAAATTAAAAAGTTCCTGAGGGATTCACTCTAGGGCTTTACCTTATATTTAAAGAATAATTAACACCAATTTTACACGTTCTCTTCCAGAAAATATAAGAGGAGGGAATATTTCTGATTCATTTTTTGAGGTCTGAATTTGTCTGATAGCAGAACCAGACAAAGACCATACAAAACAAACTACAGACTAGTATCTCTCATGAACTTAGGTACAAAATGTTAACATCATATCCAGGAATATATAAAAACTGTACACAACAGCCAAATGGAGTTTATTCCAGATACACACGGCTGGTTCAGTAATCAGAAACCAAATCAACATAATCCATATCAACAGTCTAAAAATTCATAAGCACAGAAATGCATTCAACAAAACCCCAACACCCATTTATGGTAAAACACTGATCCAAGATTAGAGGGAGAACTTCCTCAGCTTGATCAACTTCCTCATCTACAAAAAACCAACTGTACCATCACACTTAACAGGGAAATACTGAGTGCTTTCCCCCTGACTGGGAACGAGGCAAGGATGCCTGCTCTCACCACTCCTACTTAATGTGGTTCTGGAAGTTCTGATCAGCACAACAAAGTAAAAGGAAATAAAAGAGCATTTAGATTAGAAAGGAAGAAATAAATCTGGCTCTCTTTGCAAATGACATGACTGTCTATATAGAAAATCCCAGGGGCGCTTGGGTGGCTCAGTCGTTAAGCGTCTGCCTTCGTTCGGCTCAGGTCATGATCCCAGGGTCCTGGGATCAAGCCCCGCATCGGGCTCCCTGCTCCGCGGGAAGCCTGCTTCTCCCTCTCCCACTCCCCCTGCTTGTGCTCCCTCTCACTGTGTCTCTCTCTGTCAAATGAATAAATAAAATCTTTAAAAAAAAAAAAAAATTCCAAGGTATCTACCAAAAAACGTCCTAGAACTAATAAGTGTTTCAGCAAGGTCACAGGATGGAATTAACTGTATTTCCATATACTAACAGTGACACCATTTTAATAAAAATCCTGTGCATCAATATTTGTAGCCGCAGTAGGTGGATAGTGAAACTGTGGTGGAGCCGTACCACAAGCAGTGACCGCTGATACATGCAACACCACCGATGCATCTCGGAAGCACCGGGCTGGATGAAAGAAGCCAGACACAAAAGGGAACATACTGTATGATTCCACTTATGTAATATTCTTGAGATAATGTTGTAGAGATAGAGAGCAGATTAGTGGCTGCCAGAGATTTAAGGATTAGAAAAGGAGGGGGGGTGGCTCTAAAAGGGTGACATGAGGGAGCCCTGTGGTAATGGCACACTTATCTGTCCTGATTGTTAGGGGTGGTTATGTAAAGCTACATGTGCTAAAATTGCACGCATGCGCGTGCACATTCTCACAAATGAGTGCACGTGGAGCTGGACACATCTGAGTAACCTCCGTGGATTGTACCAATACCAGCGTCCTGGTTTTTTGGTTTTTTTTGTTTTTTTTTTGAGTGAGAATGAGAGCACGAGAAGGAAGAGGGTCAGAGGGAGAAGCAGACTCCCCGCTGAGCAGGGAGCCCGATGCGGGACTCGATCCCGGGACTCCAGGATCACGACCTGAGCCAAAGGCAGTCGCTTAACCAACCTGAGCCACCCAGGCACCCAGCGCCCTGGTTTTGATAGTGTGCTGTACTTCTGCAGGAGGTAGTGTTGGGGGAGGCAAGGTCAAGTGTGACCTTGGAAGTTCCTTCCAAAGGCCTTTTTAAAATGCATGCACAAGTGTATTTGCATTAGAAATGTATTTGCCCCCATCCCTTCTCTAGACAAATGGGTTTCCTATAATCTTAACTATTCTGCACCTTACTTTTTTTCTTCACTTAATAGAGATGGTTCCATATTGGTCATGCTTTATTTTTTCAGATACAGAGAGTACATTGATATTTCTGCCATGGTGCTTAAATCACGTTTCTATGAACAGACTTCCGGGGTGTTTCTGTTCTGTGCTGTTAGGAGCAACGCTCTGATGAAGACCTTGCACATTTGCTATTTTGCTGGTGTGT